TCGTCACAAGGTTTCCAGAAAAGAACAATAGACTGCTTGAAGTTTTTCAATCAATGCCTTTCTCAAGCATGATTCGGCAAACTAATTATAACCTTTCTTGTGAATTCAACTACAGCCTCAGATTAACTGCGTTCAATGCCGATGTGGGCACCCCAGATCAATCCCGTTGACGGGTGACTGCTGATGGCACAGATCGATAGAACTAGCTGAGAGACAGGCGAAACGAAGGACCCGCGTAGTGTGGTGGTGAACGCGCTACTCTGCGGAAAAGACAATAGCGCCGCGTTCGTTCTCCACCGCAGGCAACTGCTGTACGGGTTTTTGCAAATATCTCGGAATCGGACATGGACACAGTTATCGACCATGTATTACTCTGTGCGGCGGCTATCCACCAACTAACTTAAATACTTACAACAAATAAACGGTAGGTGTTTGAATGAAGCTGTTTCTTATGCGAATGCAAATCGAATTGTCAAGTTTTATCTGCTAGGGTTGTGAAAGTGTTTGGTTAAGTAGATCACATCTCAATTTGACCTTTCCAGGCTCTGAAGAAGGCGAAACCGCCGAAACGTCAGCAATTGTGTTCTAATAAATTCTGTATTAACAACCTCGTGTCTGCTTATTGATGAAAAACATTGAATTATCAATTAATGCCGAGGCTAACAAAAAGTCGGTCATGGGAATATCTCGGAATCATTGGAATAACTTAACAAGTTTCAGAGACTCGCTTTGTAGTCAAGAATGATTCTTGAAATACTGTTGTTACCGGCGATCCCGTACCTTATCTACGAATTTTACTGGAAATGAAGACATCTACCACCAGATAAGTGGCGCTACTATTATCGTGGGAAGATTCACGCTTTGACAGGTAGCTATTGACAATGGTAACTTTGAGGCATTGATTACAACGAAAGAATACTCAAGATTCTGTAGCAAAAATTTAGTAGTTTATTCCAAATCTTTCACTAGTTTTAACTAATTATCTTAGGCATGAAAAATGGAATCAGGAACAACAGTTGTTCTGCAGAAAAAAGATTAGCAACACTAGAATTCTTAAAAATCGGCTTTCACTAAACCTCACCAAGAATAAACAATATTGTTCTAGATGGTAGAACCAAGACGAGCACCATTTAAAAAGGTTTATTCGACCAACATTTTAACGTCTCGATATTCACCAGGGCAGGACTGACCCGACTCGTTGGTACACATGTGGTCGGTTTGAGTGTTCGTTGTCCCATTGAGTCGAATACACGATGTGGAGAACACTTGAATGAAGAAACTCATTCGACGGTGTCTTTCTTTTATGTTGGATGGACCTTGATTGTTGCCTCCACCCAATCTAATGTGCTTTGCTTCGCGGTGATGTGTCCTATGGCGGTCATTTTTTAGCTAGCACTTAGCGCATCATAGATCGACGTCCGCCCTATATAAAGTGGCACCGCGGAGTAGGATTTTTGATTCGATTGGGCTCGGCTCAGTGCGACAAGGAACACCGACAGGGCGACATCGACCACCTGTGAAGCATGCACTCTGGTCATGGCCAGCTCTGAAAAAGACGAAATCGTCGAAATGTTACCTGATTAAATATTTCTATTGCAACTCAATAGTCTAAACAAATACTAGGATTTTTTTTTGCAGACTTTCTTAAGAAATAATTCTTCTAGGCCCTACACCGCTGCCGTTCATTGGAAACGTTCACGTATTACTTCGGCACGAACCCGGTTACAGCGCTTTTGAAATGTGGCGCAAACGGTTCGGTCCGACCTTTACGTACTGAATAGGTAAAAAATCACTTAACTTCAAACATGCAATCTACACTTTATAATTTTTCATCCGATATTTGGTGCTATTTTGATGTGACGTTAGTAGCGTAATGTTCATAACATGATAACATTGTTCTGTAATCCATTATTTCTGAACCAAATTCACATGAACCATAAACTTCCCGTACAAGTTATAGCATCGGATTCACACGAGCATTCGCTGCAAGCTCTCATATTAGGTGTTTGCTTCGTAGCTGGCTGAAGAAGGCTCTGTAATGTCTCTTTACGCGCTTCTCCTCTTGTCGGGTACATCGTGCACTGGATGAGCAGCTATCAGTTTCATGTATTTCTCCATATGTGCCGTGACACTTTCTGTGAAACTACAGAGTTTTGTATTCCTGCACTTTTACACATGGCAAAAAACTTCACTAGCCTTACCTTAGTCACTTTCATTGCTTCACCAAAGCACGATAAACCTGTTCTGTTATCTCAAAGGTCTCTTACGTCTGTCTCATCATCTCGACTTCGCTTTATTATTTTAACGTTTTTTTAGTATGAATCAACGTGGTAATTCGTGTCCTTTCCTTTGTACGAGCAGAAAAGTGGACATAATGCCGAGGCAGGAGCTCAGAATATCATCAAGTTTGGGGTGAAGGTGGTGTTGGTGATTCAACAATGCAAAAATGGTTTAGTATATTCCGATCTGGTAATTTCAACCTCGAACATAAGGAAGGCCTCGGACGCCCCAATGATTTTGACGGCGACGAATTGAATTCAGTACTGGAAGCAAACATACGAAGAACTGTTCGAGAGCTTCCAGAACAGCTTGACATAAACATAGGAACAATTTCCATTCACTTGAATCGCATAGGAAAGACAAAAAAAAACTCGACAAGAGGGTGTTGCACAAATTAAACGATAATCAAAAATCGCCATTTTGAAGTGCCTTCCGCTTTTAGTCTGCGCAACTAAAACGGCCCTTTTCTTGATCGAACTGCTACGTGCCATGAGAAATGGTCTCTATACGTCAATCGGCCACGTTCAGCTCAATGGTCGACTTGCGATCAGGCTCCACAGCACTTCCCCGAAAGCCGAAACTGCACCAAAAAGTGATTTTGGTGGTCTGCAACTGGGCTGATTCATTACAGCTTTTTGAATCCGCGCTAAACCATTACGGCAAAGAAGTATTGCCAAACATCGACTTAATCCACCATAAACTCCAACAACAACGACCGGCACTAGTCAACAGAAGGACCAATCTTTCTCCACGACAACGCCCGGCCTCACGTTGTGGAACCAGCGCTGCAGTAGTTGAACGAGTTGAGCTACGAAACTTTACCTCATTCGCCATATTCATCAGACTACTGGCCTACTAGCTATTCTTCTTCATGCACCTTGACAACTTCCTGCACTTCACCAACGACGGTGACCCAAAAAATGCCTTCATCAGTCCATCGTTTCCAGGACTCCAAAATTTTAAGCAATAAAATAAATAGATTTTTTGTTGGAAGATATGTACTGATTGTAATGGAAATTATTTCGATTAAAGTTAGTACGAAAAAATTAATGGTTACTTAAAGTTTACATTAAAAATCGTCGGTCATTTCATATGTTACAACCTAATACTGCAAAGTCTATGGCACCAACATTTCTTGACGGATTTTTTTCTGCCAAGAATGATGAAGTTTCCATTATCTAAGCATCGCCTTTTTGCTATTCTCTCTTGACGTGCTGTTGAATTTGATACCAGCTGCGGACTCAAGATGAGTATGAATATTAGCGCGTAATGAGGTCATTCTGATGTTGCATGTGCTGGGAAGGAAGGAGTCTTCATCGCGCTCCGTGGATAAATTTTCTGATCCTGTTTCAATGAAGACCTGTGCTATCCGGGATTGTCAGCAGTTTTTCAGATGTGGGAGAGCCAAATGTCTGGTAGTGAAGCTAGTTTATTTTGCTGGTTAAGCTGATCGAGCCGCAAAGCGGCCTCGTGGGGAACGCCGTTCACCCATGATAAAGCAGTAACCGTAGAAGCTTTAAAGCAAGATCGTCATAGATTTCTTTATATAGAAGGCGTGTATGGCACTTTTCAATTCTCCGGTCAGACATGGCGAAAACATAGAAGATTTGCTCTCTATGTGCTTAGAGATCTGGGTCTTAGTAAGGACGTCATGGAATGACGAGTAGGTGGTTTATTGCAAAAAATCGTGTGTAATGCTGCATGGTGAATTGTTTTGGCACGAAATCACTTTGTTCAGATTCTCATTGAAGTAGAGACGATGAGTGAGACATTACATGCTTTCAAAGGGGAAGAAATTGATGTGCAGGTTTTTCCTCTGCCATTACCTATTGATATGACTTCTATTTGTTTGTGGTTACTGTTATTTTTGTTGTAGACCATTTTTTCAACGCGTGGAATTTTGAGGACGTCTTCAATGTTGGCGTCGGTTCAGTGATCAATCAATTGCTGTTTGGCTATCGTTTTGAAGGAGTGAGTGCTAAGTATTTCTGTTTGTCGTAACTAGAAATGCTGTTTCCTGTGATTCGATGTCTTCGCTTTCCGTGAAGTGATAGTTCATGAGTCTTGAGGCCAATTTTAAATAAAAAACGGACACAATCAACCTTTTTGAAATGGTGTTCTTAGGTTATTAGGGACTGTAGACTGAGCCATCATGCTCTCTTAATTATTTCGGTTAACAATGATCGGCGTCTAAAGCTGGGGAATTCTGTTTGCTTGATATGTTTTAGATCTTCTGATTATTGTGAAAAACTGTCTTCTGTGCAGCTGAATGTTGGAGTTTGGGTACGAAAAATTATTAAGTTAGGACAGAATTTCCCGCCTTCCAGCTTGACGTGTTCATTTCGGGTTTCAATCCTGGAAGATCTACCTCGAAGTTTAAACTCTACCCAAGTTAACATATGCTGTTCGAAAATGCACACAGAAGCGACGAAACTAATTCACACAGTTAACCATGGGAAGATACATCTGTTCTTTGATTGAGTATTTAGGCCTTTTAACATTAAGTGCAGTCCAGGCAGGAACCACGTACTATCGTAATCAATCACTTGTTAGTTCCTTTAAAACGGAATTTTTCTTGTCAGCGAACTATAGAGAGTAGAGACACATGGGAAATCGTATCAACGCTAGTCTGTACTTTTCGGGATGTACACAGTGTGAAAGAATTTGTATTAGTAATCTTCCAACACCACAATGAATGTCGAATAAATAAATTCATTAGAATGACTCTCAATCGCGGGGCCTTCTTTTCGTTTTTCGATGGTCAGATAGAAGCCCACCAAAAAGATATCGACTTCGAAGCCGATGAATCCAGCGACTATATTGAAGCGTTCTTAAAGGGGAAAAGGCGTCGTGAAGCAAACGGCGACAGTGAATCGTTCAGCTAAATTTGGATATTTGGAGCAAAATTTTCAAAGCCACTTTCTATTTTCGTGAATTAGCTTTCACACTAGTTTCTCCTTATTCAGTTTTTTAGTGCAGAACCGCCAATTATTTCTGGATAATCTTCGTCTCTATGATTCGTAAATGTTCGTAGTTATGCAGGCTCCATATTCATGGAAGCCTTCTCAGATTATGGTTTCGTAGCTCAAATTTTTTCAGTTACATACAGCTGCAAAGCATGTGTCTCGACTTGTGGTTCGCAGGAATGGAAACCACTGCTAACACACTTTCATGAGTGTGGTTTACCTGCTTAACAAATCAGCATGTTTAAGTAAGTGCTGTAGATTTTCTTAGTAGTAGAAATTAGTTCACCTGGAAGTAGATGAAAACTAACTTGGAATCCTCTTTGCTTTAGTTGTGATTAACAAGTGAATGAAAAGATCTAATAAGGTGAACACAGTTTAATGGCACATCTACAACGATGCGCATTGATTTCGTTGCCTACCTCGCGCGTGGGAAAAATATTCGTAGGATCTCAATAATTGCTTCTTCTAAAAGTTCTTTTGGGTATCGGTAACAATGAGATTTTGAATCAGATATAAAAAAATCATAGTTTGAAATAGCCCACTCCTTGGTCGACGATTGCTGATAGAACGGCTTTGGTTTTGTTACTGTTGAACGCACTTCTGTTTTCGACACTGATTAGGTGAAAGTGCAGATGATGTGTGCGGGTAGATTTTAACGACTTCAGCTTGATGAGCTTGCTTCAGCTCTGCATGTGATCAAACCAATAAAATCTCTGTCATAAGAGTGCTGTTCGGTTGAAAGGCCGATATACCCGATCGAGGAGTCTTCGTGAAGTGCTCGTAAACCATACAAGCGTGCAGTAACCAACAACCTTGTAGAGCACAGTGTATCTTGGAGGTTGCGAGAGCTACGTGTAATTTTCGACTTCGAAAGTGCGGAGCTGTTTCCTCTTGCTGATATTTCCAGTTAATGCTGCTGCGGACGGTTTTTTTTCTTCTATACAATTGCGTCTTCCTGAGGGTTCTCGCTAAAGCGGGCATTTGTTGGCACCTGTTTTACACAGGTTCAAAAAGGACTGAGCTCAATTCAGTTTTTGTTCTCAAGTAACTCCTTGGAGGAGATGGCATTTAAATTCTGTTATGAACAATACAAGTGTTTAGGACAGTCTTCGAAATTGCGATTCTTTGCCCACCATCGAGTTTCCGTGCTTGTTTCTTCTTTGGCGATGCGAACACCAGTTTTTTCGCTTTTTGCAAAATTAACTTTTTGCATAGGAGAGATGGGTATCGGATCCAACGGAGAATGAAGGCACTGCGGATGTGTCAAAAAGGCACTACTATATCTTGTGAAGATGTTCAGCTGCTCTTGGAGTTCACCAAAAGAAGGATCACCAAAATTAACGTTCTCATATGGGTATTAAATTCTGAATTTTTCAACCCTTTATTCACATCACAAGTTTTACTACTTTGGTCCTGTAAGCACACGAAGCAGATTCATAAAAAAGCTTCCCTACTCGAGAAAATTTTCTCAACTGATCAGAGAGTACATATCTACCACGACCGACTTTCTATTAACCTCGGCATTGATCAAGTGATTTTCTTCGTATTTTTGTTGAGCAAACGCGAGGTGTTACTATTCTTTGTTCACGATTAAGCTGACGTTTCGGCGGATTTCGCCTTCTTCAGAGCCGCTTTCTATGAGGTTTCCACTAAGTATGTCACGTAGAGACCAACCGCACAGAAATCACGTGGAAGTATAATATAGTACCAGTACATATCTAATTCTCTGCCAATGGTTGGACATATTCGTGATCACCTGTTGATGACGCTGTAGTTCTTGTGGCACTTTGAAGTTGGTAGGTATCTAGGGACCTGGTCTAGTGGGTTTGCGACCTCGAAAAATCGACATACGAAGGGATTGTTCTTGAATGCATTGAGATTGTGCAATTTTGCTCAGAACTGGCCAGTTTTTCCCTTCGAAAGACAGATTTTAAATAAACCTCGGCATTAGTTATTAACTTAATTAAGCCTTACGAACAGCCCTTGTTGAACCGATTCGAGGTTTTTTGTCTGTTGTTCTTGTAACCCAATGGCTGGATTTATGGAGCACTTTCGGTTTTGCAAAGGCAGACCACCGGCATGCTGCTCACGTTCAGATGTCCCATAGTTGGACGTCAAAATAGGAAGCACGCAGTGGCTGGAGTGCAAAGGCGGGGTTGCTGCTTGACCGTTTTGTTGCCCTCTGGAATCCCAAGAAAGCCAAGAGCGTATTTTGTTTTCAATGCAGGAAGTTCCTGTCGTTTGTAGATTATAAGATTCAAGTGAGAATTTTATATATTGTCTTTCCTAACGAAGAAAGAACCTCCACTGTACGTCGCAGCTCCACACTTAGAGAACTGCGAAAACCACAATGAAATGGCAATCTTTTTGGGTGAATTTGAATGTATTGGATTAGGTGTTATGCATAGTTCATACTGACTTCCAGTAGCATTTGTGGTTATATATATATATATATATATATTAAAAATCTTCCTAATTATAGAAAAAAGTGCACGAAGAATTAGACCGTGAAATCGGATCTGGTCGTGCGATCACGATGTCGGATAAGAAGAGCGTACCATATACAAATGCGGTAACCAACGTGTCTGGTGATTCTAACTGTTCTTTAAACAAAAACATAAACTCAATTATGTTGTGATGCTAATAATGATTGATATTTGATATGATATGAAAACTATCTAAAGAGCCTGCAGGGACAATTGCTTTTTTCTTCTTCCTTAAAGGAAATCCAACGTATGGCCGACTTACTAGCAATAAATCTTCCTCACGAGACTATGTCCAGTCTAGGAGGGCAAATGGAGTCCTCCAGCTCGTACGGCAGTCATCGCCCAGATCAGTTCTCTACTTTACGTTGATGAGGTTTGCCTTTATTTGCCTTTTGGTCTAAAAGTTAGAATCATGGTGTTGATGAGTGCCTTAGAAAATTGGCTCCTCTGCTGGATCACATTTATAGGTATTTATGGGTGAGATAGTTAGTGATATCTTGCAAGATTCATATCCACTGTGACTTCAATGGCAAGGTTTTCGCAGAGATTTTTCGGCGAAAGTCTACCATCTGCATGCTACGCTTCCTTTCTCTCCGAATGGCACTAAAACCTGTATCAACTGCTCTTCCGCTGTTCATTTAACAGACAAATTTGAGCGTGGGCAAGCAACATCTGCAATCATATCTTTGCTAAAATCGTTGAAGTGGTGCTCTTCACTCGAATGCCACGTAGAGTGCCCACAATTTCGGTTTGATCCTGCATTGTGACTCCGAATACCCACTGAGCATTCACAGAGATATTTTCAGACTGAGTGCGTCAAAACGAATAAAGCGACTCTGAAGAGTGGTCGTTCACATTTGTGTTTGTCAACGCATGTTCTTTAGGTATTTCGCTCTTCACATACCTTCAATCCCAGCAGATTCATTGATGAAAATGGAGAGGAAGAAGGTATCGCGCAAACAAAGCGAGTTAGGAGTGAAAGATGCTCAAAAATTTGTTAAGGTGGAAGAACTCATACCGTTTACATTCGGAAAACGGCAATGTCTTGGGGAAGGATTGGCGAGAATGGAACTTTTCTTATTTACTGCTAATCTTTTCAATAGATATTTTTTAGCTGTCATGTGTTAATGCGAAAGAACCGTCTAGCATGGAGAAATTATTTACCTTAACAGTTCAATCACGTCCATACCGATGTCTGGCAAAGCCGAGATTTGATTGATTTCGCATGAGAGGACGATAGGAACCCAATATTTCTGCTTTTGCACAATATCTTTTGTTGTTCTTATTTTAATAACACTGTAGAATATATTTTAAAATAACGTTAAACAACTAATGAGTGTTAGGTAAAGGTCTAACGAACTTCGTTATGTGTCATCTACTGCCATCACCATCACACCGCTATAGCATCATCGTAGTTCAAGATGGTCGCGTTGCAGATGTAACTACACTTGTAACATTGTAAATGTTTTTTAGAAAAAACTTTCTGTTTAATAACAATGAATACGTATTTTTGCTGTGAATATGACAACAATGAATAAACGCGAACACTGCAAAACTTTTGTAGGGGAATTTAAAACAATTTCTCTCTCATGTAGACGATTTTCGATAAACTTGAGAAATAGGACTTTTTTAGAATTGACCATTTAGTTTTTATAAATTTCTTGAAATAATGTGAGGATAATTCAATGTTTTTCTTCAATAAGCAGACACGAGGTTGTTAATATAGAATTTATTAGGATACAATAGCTGACGTTTCGGTGGTTTCGCCTTCTTCAGAGCCTGGAAGGGTCAAGTTTTATCTGCTAGGGTTATGAAAGTGTTTGGCTGAGTAGATCACACCTCAATTTAACCTTTCCAGACTCTGAAGAAGGCGAAACCACCGAAACGTCAGCTATTGTATCCTAATAAATTCTATATTAACAACCTCGTGTCTGCTTATTGAAGAAAAACATTGAATTATCAATTAATGCCGAGGTTAACAGAAAGTCGGTCTTGGGAATGTGAAGATAGTTTCCTCTAAAAAAGATGTTTATATACAAGGAAACTTAGAAAGCCTGCGTAAATGTCAATGTGAAGAAATCCCTGTGTCGACAGCCGCCAAGAGTTTGTGCTTGGCATTGATATGTGGACGAGGACTACGTTGCCTCACTTTCGTTCGCACTCCTCAGTGGGCATTCATGATTAATGTCCGACTTTTGAGGAATTCCGCACGTGCTTTTTCTGCGCAAATTTTGCTCAGAAATTCCATATCGTTTATTTACGGAATCTCAACGAAATAAGCAAGGGTTACTAGACCTTTACCATTCTAGAATGACTGCTATCACGGTTTGCTGACAAGTGCATATGCAAAGTGTTAGAGATTTTTGTTTTGGTAACGTTTCCAAGCTGTCCAATTCTTCGAAGCAAACAAAATTTAATAACGAGTTTTCAATTCACCGGTTTATTGAAAGGTTGCCGACAAGTGAACTAAAATGAGATCTACAGCAGATTTCGATGAACACCCATAGGTATCCTCTCTCGAAAAATGGTGAAAATGAAGGTTCTCATATTACACCCATGATCTCCTTCATTTTTATCGAAGTTTCTCGGTAGCCATGAAGGCGTTATAAGAACAGTTGACGTTTCATGGTGGTGTAATCAAATTGATAATTGATCTTAACAATGCCTCCTAACGGTTTACCGCTTCATCGTGGCTGGGAGGTGTTCCCGTGTTCCTGGGCGTCGGAGTGCGATGTACAGCGGGAGATTCGTCCCCTTGGTAGGGTCTCCAAAGCTGAGAAGGAGTCCGGTGCTTCCATCAGGAAGCCTAGCTAAGAGTAAACCAATAACAGGATCTACCACCGTCTTGATATGAAAGTCGCTTGGTGGTAAATCTCCCTCTGATGCACAAGAGCTGCGACTGCATATGGTGGTGAAGACCTGGGGCAGAGTTTTACAAGGCTGTTATCGGGATTCCAGAGACTCACAATGGCTTAAGTAGCAAACCTCTGAAAAACTGGTGATTATGCTAGGGTCCGCACAACTAGTTATAGCGGGCCGTTCAAGTAACAAGTGAGTAAGTATTAACAATGATATCTTGACAACTAATTGATAACTGTAAACAAACGGTACACATTGAAAAGTCGATAGTGAAGCAAGAATCATAAAGGACTTATTCTGTAGTCAGTAAAGGCCTTCTTTGCAATCCATGAAAAATTCTTATGTTTCACGTTCTTCAAGGCACCCTCCCAATATGGCATAAATGGTTGGTGCGTCGTTTCTTTTCTTCATCTCATTCGTCACAAGTTTTTTAACGCGATAACGACGATAAATTCGTGATTCGTCTATCAGCGTTTCTTTCTAGTTCACGCTATCACTACTGAAAACAATCGTTGCCATCGCTCGGCAAACACAATGTGACCTTGTTTATTCGGCTCCGCTTTGCCTATCTCGCTCGTCGCACAGCATTTTCATGACCCTGCAATCTAATACTTTTTGTATTTCGAAAGCAATATGGAATAGTCGTCCAAACAAGACAAAGTTTTCGTTTTGAAACACCTCTCGAACGATTGCTTTGTAATACACCTTGGGAATAATCTCTCGTGAGCTGCTTTGATCAGAAAATAGCATACCTGAAAACAAATCAAGTTCTCCTTACTCCAAGGCCGCAGAGGGTTCTTCTCCAAAATGCACTTTCCAGAAAAAGTTCTACTTTTGTATTCACAGATTCTCATGTTCAACGCAAGAAGAAACTTAAAACAATAAATTAAAGACTGCAGAGATCCGCGTTGCAACCGAGAATGTTGCTTGAATTGCTAATACTACTGGTGATACTGTTCATCGTCTATGAATTTCACTGGAAACAAAGAAATCTACCACCAGGCAAGTGATATTGTGATGGTTGTGAAAGGCTTTACTCTTTTACAGATAGTGCCATGACACTGGCCATCTCGGAGCACATAACAATTATTCCCCTTTTCCTCTTGAGAAAGACGCGGATACCTGGTACCAATCTGCCGACCACGGTGGGATGGAAGGCTTGGTGAGCCATGGCGCTTCCAACCACTACGACACACACCTGGAACCGACCAGGCCGCTCATGGCCCACCAAGCCTTCCATCCCACCGTGGTTGGCAAATTGGTACCAGACTTGTCTGGGAGGATAGCAGCACTGGCTCGATACATCGGTAGGCCACACCGAGTCATTGCGAAGGCCAGATATGCATTCAGTCACCTCCAGCGATACTTAATGAAGTCGAATGTATGGCGTATTTCTCAGGGATTGATCAACGTCGAGAGTTTTATCTTTTATTTTTTCTCCTTGAGAATCGTTCAGTTTGTTTCAACTACTCAGTTATTTTCAATTTCATGTTTAAACTGCAACTAGGTGCCACTGTGTCGAACATGTTCCTTCTAGGCCCAATTCCGCTTCCATTCATCGGCAACCTTCATGTTTTATTTCGCCACGAACCCGGCTACAGTGCGTACGAAATGTGGCGCAAAAAATATGGCCCGATCTATACATACTGGATAGGTGAAACATCTTTCGATTTTCATTATAAAATTAGACCAGAAATAGAGCGGCAGCGAGAATAGCAGATTTTGAAGCTCATTAGGTAGACAATGCTTCCGATTCATTTTTTTCCTTTAGGATCTCACCCGTTCGTTATGATTAGTGATTACAAGACAATAAGAGACACCTTCGTCAAAGATGGAGAAGCGTATGTGGGGAAATTTCACTTCAGCGAAGTTAGGAAGGTATTTCGAGGTTTGCACTCTTAGAGCTGTACGATAAAAACTATGACTTTAATGATTCTGAGATATTTTCAAAAGTCTGGGCTGCAGGTGTCTGCAGTGGGGAACGAACTCGTTTTTGTCGTTTCCGGGGAGTAACGCGTTCACCACCTCACCATGCGGGTCGTTCGCTTCGCCTGCCTCTAAGCTAGTTCTATCGATCTTTTGCCAACAGGAAACACCCGATAACGAGATTGATCTGGGGGCCCAAATCGGTAACGAACCCAGTTAAGCTGGGGCTGCAGTTATAATCACAATTTTAACTTATTATTTAGTGCCTACTGGGCTTCCCAGATCAATCCCACTGACGGGCGATTGCTGATGGCAGTGATCGATAGAACTAGCTGAGAAACAGGCTTTATCGTGTTTATCATACTCACTAGAACGACATCGCTCTGTTTATGCCTTTTTTTGCAAGTTCGCTTAAATATTACCTGTAGAATCACCTGTGGTGCCGCTGAACGTCGAGGGACTCGAGCCTGCCCCAGTAAATCTTCCATTTTTCTCTGTCGCGTGCAAGAGTGGACTAGTGGGTTCTGCTCGCTCTAGGAACTCGTCAAGCATCATATCTTTCTTCAAGGCTCTTTGCGAAGAACTCTGACCATCGGGTCGGTGGTCTTCCTGCAGTATGCTTGACATCGCGAGGAATTCAGTCATTAACGCCTCTTGTCTATCGGTTGTCATTCATACGCATTACGTGACCGGCCCACCTTATCTTCGATTGTTTCGTGTACAGAACGGCATCTTTGATTCTTGATGGTTGACGCAGATCGGAGCATCGGATCCCATCCTTTACTTTTGTGGGACGGGATACTCCTAGCATCATCCTTTCGATTGCGTCTTCGATAACACTGAATAATCTTTCATCCTGCTTTCGCAGCGCCCAAGTTTCTGAAGCATACGTTAGGGCAGGAAGAACCGTCGAATCGAAAAGGTGGGCACGGAGTCGGGTGCTCCTTGTTTTCTTCACCACATCCTTGATGCTCTTGAAAGCTCTCCAAGCCGCTCGTTTTCTTCTGCTCAGCTCTGGAGCTAAGTCGTTCGTCGTATTGATTTCCCGACCTAGATAGATCCAACTGGAGCATTCAGAGATATACGTTCCGTTGAACGTGAATGGGGCATGCGAGACCTATTCGTCCTTCATGAACATCGTTTTTGTGAGATTTAGTCGAAGACTAATCTTTCCACAGGCTTTATCAAAGTCGTCAAGCATACGTTCCGCCTTGCTAATGTTTGGTGTTATGAGAACGATGTCATCAGCAAAGTGAAGATGATGTAACTGACGACCATCGATTTCCACTCCCATATTATCCCATTCCTATGCTCGCATGACGTTCTGAAGGGTTGCGGTAAAT